CCTTATCCTTTTAGATTACTTTGTTTGGCACAACCACAGTTTTGGCACCATCCTTCTTCTTTTTCTTGCCCCTCCTCTTGGGCCTAGAAGTGCATGGTCCAGCAGACTGAGTGTAGTTGATAGATGCACCCTTGCTTTTGTTTATCCCTTCAAAGGTTACCAACTCATTCAATAGTTCAGCGAGTGTGTACTCAAGCTTATTCATATAATAATTAGCCCTAAAAGAGTTAAATGAGTCTGGCAATGAAGCGATAATCATGTCAACCTGAAGTTCACCATCCAAGTTGCATCCAAGGATCTCCAGTTCATTTAAAAAACCAATCATTTTTAAAGCATGTTCCCGAACTGAAGTACCTTGGACCATCTTAATGGTCATCAAATTGGTCATAGCATTTTGGCGTGCACTCTTACCAATTTGCCCAAACATTTCCTTAAGGTTAAGCATGATGTTTGCAGAAGTGAGATATTGAAGATGTTGACTTTGGAGTACCTTCGAGAGTGAAGCAAGAATGTAGCACTTAGTCATCTCATCTGCTTTATTCCATTTCTTAAATACTTCATGCTCCTCAGGAGGATCCTCAGGCAAAGGTGGAGAAGGTCTAGGAGTAGTAAGCACATAATTCAACCCCTCATATGTGAGTACAATATCTAGTTGCCTTTTCCAATCGATATAATTAGGTCCAGTTAATCGATTTTCTTTTAGTATGTTTGCAAGTGGACTGAATAGACTAGTCATGATAAATCTGAAAATAAAAGCATTCATACAATAAATAAAGTGAATAATAATAATCATGCAAGTATAAAATAATTAATTAATTGTGGGTCCCTTAACCACATTGCATGAAAAATCGGACAATCAATATGCCAATAACTTATCCGGTTGGCGGAATTCATTATTGCTTATTGACGAGAACAACTCATTATTTCCATATCTCTTTAGACAATGCCTTATGTATATATATGAAATAATTTCCGATTAGATTTAGCCTTTCTAAAATCACCTAGTATAGACCACTCCGTTGGGGAGCTAATACTATTGATTTTAGATTGAGTGTATAACATAATTAATGCTCCAACGAAAAATCAAATATTAAATATATTGCCATTAATAGCTTAGACTCTTTAAATCATGCGTATGGCCTTATTTTTAAAGATCTAACTATAATGGTTATAAATATTTTCGTGAGACCACCATTCTTGTAATCTAGACTCTTTAAATCATGCATGGAGCCTTATTTTTAAAGATCTAATCACAATGGTTATAATTACGAAGGCCATGGGGTAATGTATAAAAATCCCCGCTCCCACTCAATTTTTAATAATATAAAACTAGGGTTTTCAATTCATGATTTAATGCATGCAAAACGCCTTGATTTTAATCCTATTAAATTTAGAAAATATATGGATTTTAAATGATTCACTAATATTTAATTTGAGGCAAAAAATAATTTACAAAAAATAATTTTTCTGTTTCCCAATAAATGCCCTCAAATTAATTAGCAATCTAATCCAATTTATCTTCATAATTTAATTAATATAAATCAAACCATTTAATTAAAAAATCATGGATCCAATGCATGAACAATTATAATAAGCATTAAATTATTTCATGCATCAAATAATAGACAGAAGCAATATAAATGGCCAATGGATTCAGCTTTTAATATTTAAAAACTATTCTTGCTGTACGGGCATCCTTCAACTGTCTATAAACACCCATAGGAAGCTTGTACGCGTCAGGAGAAGTAAAACGCCGCTTGGAACGAGCCCGGAGGACCCCACACGCGCTGGCAGGCGCCTAGAGCAGGCTGCAGGACTCGGCACGCGCTCCCACGCACCCCCACGCGCCTTCACGCGCTTGGGGCGCCTGGGACGCGCCCTCACGCGCTCCCACACGTCTGGGGCGCGTGGGACGCGCCTCCACGCGCCTTCAAGCGCGTGGAGGGCTAAGCTCCTTGGCTGGCGCGTGCAATGCACGCACCAGCATGTGCCTTTATATGCCACTTCCTGGCGCGTGAGGAACACGCACCAGGCTCACTTTGTCTATGCCACACCTGATCCGGGCCACCTCCGACGCCCCTTTTCGCCGCCGACGAAGCTCCGGCCAACGGAAAAACGCCGAAAAAATTCCAAAAAATCCGGAAAAATCCCAGAAAATTAAATTAAGCCTAAAAAAATTCCCGAAAAATTCCAGAAAATTACTGAAGCATAATTTAACCCTTTCGGACCCTCTTGAAGCTTCATAGCATCCTTTGATGAATATTACATGGCTTTAATAAAAACTTACAATTTGAAATACAATGGAAAAAATTAAATTACATCATTGAATTTTCAAACGGCTAAAACAAAGCCTTAATTACATTCATCCAAAAATAAAATTACATTCTATATACCTATAAGTTTCATCCATGGCCCAAACACACATCATCATCCATTCACAATTATACATACATCATCATGTATTAATATATATCAATATAATAAATCATACATCAACATATATCAATAATTTTATATCTGTATATATAATTTGGATCCATGAATATGATTTTTATAAACACATGTTCTCTAGTAATGAATCAAACCATGTGCTCTGATACCACTGTTGGGAAACGTGCAAGCTTTTAAAATTTGTTGAGGGATTTGCAATCATAGATCTTGATTCATTACATGGAAACAAGTTTTATGCAAAGATAAATAAAAGATGATGCATAATTCAATAAACAGATTGAATACTTACATCAAAGGTCTGAGTAAACCTTTTGAACTTTCCTCTAAAGTGAATGTTCTCACTTATTGTAGATCCCTTTAGCAAGATCCTTTCTCCTTCTTTTTGATTATTATCTTCCCTTTAAGAATCACCAATATGCCTTGATGAATGACCTTGGAATCTAGACTGGTGGTAGCCTCCTTTAGAAGAGAAAACAAAACCCTAAAATCTAGAGAGAGAAAGTGTATTCCTTTTTCTTGTTCTCAAAGTCACCCCTAAAATATACATGAACTCATGTATATATAGGCAAAATAAAAATAAGAATAAGGAAACAATAAATCATTATCCATCTCTAATTCAACTTTCTCAATCCTAACATGACTCCAATATCAACTTGGGCTATTGGTGAGAATCCTTTTGGGCTTACTATTTTCTTGGCTCCCATAAATTAATAATTGGTCCGGTCCATTAAACCATGAACCCAATTCAATTAATTCATAAATTAATTTCTACTCCACTAAAAGAAATTAATTGCACTCCAATTAAATAGTAAATAACCTCTAAGTCAATGTTGCACTTTGACCCCTCTATACTTAATTATTTATCGGATAATTAAAGCCATCAATCCGACAACATAATTAATATAATTATTTTGTTACCTTTGATTATTTCCGGCTCAATCACAATAAAATATTTATTTGACAAAAAATAATAATAATTTATTAAATAAATATATATAGAAAACATTTGTCTAAAACATACGAAGGCCTTCGAATTTAATTTGTGATCAACCATAATCAAAACAAAATAAATACAAATAGCACTGATGCAAATATTGAGAATATAGACCTCTAATTATTAATTACATAACTACCCAAAGTGTCGATCTAAGGATCCCGAGGTATCGGTCGAACAAATCAAAGTAATTATTAATTAATAAAAGAGTCTATACTTCTCTCATGCTTGAGAGTCAAAAGCCATGACTGTGATAGAGAGCAATTGCATACGACAGCTCTCACAATATATCTCAATCTATCGTGGACTCGGTTTAAGTCTTAACTAATTAAATGTCTATCCATAATTACCGACTTTAAATCATTTATGATTACTAATTTATAACATAGTATTAATTGCCATTACATACATTTAAATATATTTTGTAATCAAGTGGACACAATCAATTCCATAATGAATCGAACAAATAATACATTCCATTCACTAATTGTATAATGCTTTAATAATAATATCCAGATAAGAAACCATGACTTTTACAATCCAAAATTAGAATTTGCTATGCTAGGGCACACATATCCTAACACCATTGGGATCACCACATCCTTCCAGGAGCAGAGCTACCATTCTCAGAGCCGTAACGAGCATCAGTCTACTGATGACTCGAGATTGCATCATCAGGATGACCCAGTCATTCCTGACACTCAGGCTCAGCCAAACAGTCTAGGGGATCGTATTTAGACATTAGAGGACACAGTCCTCTCCCTTAGAGCAGATGCGACCACTCTCCACACGGATGTCATGACAGGGCTGCAGGACATTTTTAAATATATCCAGGGTTCACACCCCGCCAAACCGTCATCTTCTTCCTGACCTCTTTCTTTATCTCATATATGTACTTGTCTTCTTAAACTATTATTTTGATATAACTCCATTTTTGCGGCCAGTCTGTTGGCCTTATTACTATGATGTACATTATATTTTTATTATTCTTATATATTATGGATGTTTTGATACAATATTGACATATCTGTTGATGATCACTACAACAAATAAGGGTTTCAGCAGCGGTCTAAACTGCCTGTGTAAGGTACAAAAACCGCCAGTAATACCTTTGCCGGCGATTTTACCAAACTGCCGGTATAGTCACCGCTGGTAAGTTTCATCGGCGGTTTTTATGTAACTGCCGGGTTTGAAATCATTATCGGCGGTCTAATAAAACCGCCGGTGAAAGTTTAATTAACGGCGTTTTCGTCTGCCGGTGTATTTTAAATAAACTGTCATTATAACTGTGTATTCCGACACTTTGAAATGCCGGTAATGTATAATTTTTTTCTTTTTAGGGGCATTTTAAATCGTCGGTGTATTGTAAGTGAACTGTAAATTTTTTTTCTTTTGGGGCATTTTAAACCGCCGGTAATGTGTTAATTTTTTTTTTTTTAAAAATATTATTTTCTAATTTAATTTACATATTAACAAATATTTCATTTTGTTCCCTGTTCAATGAAATCAAATATAATTTACCAATCACAACACATCCAACAACTTAAATTTGATATGTAACATAGAACGAAGAAAATTACATTAAAATTCAATAACATTCCATGACATCTAAGTTTCGTTTCAAAATGTCAAGTGCTAATAAAAGGTTCAAAGGGAAATCATTCAAAATAAAACATCAACATTTCATTGAGAATTTGAGTGAGACTATGCGAGGGCCTTGAAAATAAATGGTTCAATTTCATCTCTCGTCTTCCTTCAAATTGCCCTACATACATTTTAAATAAAAGCCATGAAACAAAGAATAATAATTCAGACAATTAAATGTATGGTTAAAATAAAATGATAATTAAAATCTATAATGCTCACCAAGGATGAAATTCCATGACCAAAAATAAAGTTTAAGGATCACCAAGTGTAGTAGTTGAGGAGCCTGGTACCTTCACAATAAAATATAACTTTATTATGCACCTTCATAATAGAATATAATTATAAATATATTAGGACTTATAATATTTATATAGTAAAATGTTTACAAGGGTACAATAACAAAATTATTTATCTGTACATTAGAATTTTGGTTTTCAATATGACGCAAAATCATAACCATCTTTGCATTCAAAGCTTCATATTTTTCATCATACTCGACACACATTTTGTCCACTTTCTCATTCATTTCTGCACGAGCAACATGTGCCTCTTCCTCTACTTGTGAGGTCCTCCTTATCAGCTCCGCTTTCCTAGGAGATGGCCCCCAAAGACTAGTAGGTGTAGGCCCCAAGCCATACATCCGAACACGGCCCCTTCTTTCTTCTCCCCTAACTTGGGCATAAAAATCGTGGGGTGAAGGTTCATTTGGGTTAGAAGGCTGAGTTGTAGCAAGCTCTTCTAGTTGTGTCTGCATACATAGAATGGATAAGGAAACACAAAAAGATATAAAATATCAAATATAATAAATTTTAGTACTCATATTTTACACTTAATCAAAGTAGAAAATAAATAATTGAAGGTCTAAAAAAATTCTTACAATCATTTTGGCAGCATGTTTATCACTAGCTTTGCCATCCTTCTTGCTCTTATGTGTTGCGCAAAATAGTTGAGCACGAGTTGGCGCCTTCCCTGATTCCAACTTCATCTGTTTTTTTTTTTTTTTTTTTTTTTTTTTAATATATATATATATATATATATATATATCTTATTATAATTACACCGCAATGATGTATAATAAATTGTGTGACATACAAGTGATTAACTTCATAAAAAATCCAACTTAACCTTTTCAGCCTTCCGCACATAACTCATTGTCCCAGTTGTGTGCAGCATTGTTTGCTTAGAGCGATTTACTTCATTTTGTTGGCTTTGTTTCTAAAACAAAGGAATAAGAAAGTATATATTAGCCTCTTAAATTGTAAACACACACATGTTATATATGAGCTAATTAGATTAATCCTTATTTTTAAACAAATGTTATATATGTTACAGGTAAAGTGAACACTAACTATGAAAAATTCAGTAGGATGTCTAACAACTAAATGATTCAACATTCTCAAAATTGAAGAGTGCACCGTAAAATTCAAGGATTGATTTCAGACATCCAGTTCCAAAAAACAAATATACTAGAAAACAAAATGAAAAAAATAAAAAAAATTGTTGCATTGTTGCATACATACCAAACACTGAATATGCAAATACACTTTAAATGAAAGGAGATAAGAGACCAGCCCAAGGGACACTGCTTGTGCAGGGGTAAAAGTTAAGCTTCTTGTTTTTTTTCTTTTTTTTTTTTTCTTTTTTTTTTTAAAGTTAAAGGTTAATATATTAAATAATAAAAGATTACATTATAGCCCAAAGTAGTATAGCTCATGTTTCTGGGCACTTTGTGCCCAATACCTCAACCAGTCCAGTTGAGTTTAGGTCTCAGAAATTTTACTCAATCTTGTCTTTTCTAATTGAGTTTGGGTTCTTGTTTTTATCAAAGTTTCAATAGAAGCAGCAAAATAAAAAAAAACTAAAATTTTCTAGTATTCAACTAAAATTTTCTAATATTCAACTAAAATTTTCTGAATATGTGGCCTCTCACATATACTAGTATTCAACTAAAATTTTCTCGTCAGTTCTGTTAAGAGTACAATTTTTTGGGAGCTCAGATTCAGGAATTCAAGAATTGAGTGTAATTGTTATGAAGCAAAAATTGACTTACATTTGAAGGTAAAAACTTAGCTTGCCAAGCATAACAAGTGGCCAGCTATAATTCCACTTTGATTATCCAATTTATCCTGCTTTTTTTGTTCTAAGCCTCTAAGGTAAGGGGTAAATCTTCTATTTCAAGCATCCATAAATTTTCAAAATTCAATAATCAACCAGACCAATGAAATTATTTGGATCTTTCTGACATGACCAATCCTCAAGTTACCAGTAGTATACTGTGAAAGTGGTTTCTGAAACCTCAAGTAACCTCCCTCCCATTCCCTCTGGTTCAACTACTAAGTACGATGTGAAATATTAACCAGGTAAGCATTTAAATCTAAGTCCACCAGGAAAGCTCTTTTGAACGCAATTCAATGATGCATCACTGTTTTATTCAAACAGATCTTAAAGGTGGTTATATCTTATGGAATTACTTTAATATACATGAAACATTGTAGCAAAGTGCAATACACCCAAAACACAAGCAGACATCATCAAATTCAAAGCTAGGATCAGTGGAATATTTAATTTAAATCAATATTAGAGTAATATTAATATAAAAATTAGGGAGATTCCTTGCTAGATTGTTTTGCTTCTTAGGTGGTAGGAGCAACATCATTCCTCATAGTTTGTGCTACTTTCTGCCTAGTGTGCAGGATACTTCCATCTGCAGTTTTTTAGTTGGCTATAACTAAACGATAAAAATCAAAATATAAATGATTTGTCACTTAAGAACCAGGTTTAAACAATACATTGGAAACAAAGATATTCAGAAGATAAAGCATAACTACCTTTTCTCCGGCACAGAGGGGTCTAAAGAGAGGGAGAGGAAGTGAAACCTAGCATGTCTGCATAAGAGACGATAATGAACATGAGCTTAAAACTGATCCAAGATCTCTTTCAACCAAGAGATCAATCACTTCATGTCTCCAGCAAAACGTTGTAAAGTTGATCCTTTTATACTCACATTGTTGGAGCAACAAAGATCTCTACTGGCACTCTAGTCTTGGAAAAAGTTCTATGGATAACCTCTATAACATTCTTTTCCAAGATGGTGATTATTCCAATGGAAAAGCTCAATAATCTTATAAGTAACGTTTGAAAGATGGAAGGCATATTGGATATCTCTACGTCTATATTTACTGATTTACTATTCATGCATTCGCTTTAAAGTCCTAACTCAAAACTCAAGTAATCTTCGGTAGACAGTTCAGGAGCTTATGGTAACATTAAATGCGTCATCCTTGTTTTGTATCAGCTTCATTTTTGGGATGGGGTGGAGAATGTTATCATTTATTCTCATAGTTATCTTTAAATCTTATTCCATATGTGCTTGACTGGGCCACTACTCTTATTCCACTATCTTACCATTTTCTCTACTCATTTAGGTCGATTAAGACTTGAATAAAATCAGTACGGTTTGTGATACTAATGGATATTTCATATTACTTGCTAAATCATGTGTCCTTGTTCAACTGCTCATTGCAATTGTGTGTAGATAAGACCAGGTTATAAGTTGGAATTACCAGAAAAATCATGTCATTTTTTGTCCATAAACTGGCCTACTGCTCCTAGTTCATATGAATATTCTTCTATTCTGGATTTATAGTGTAAGGTTTGTTAGTTTTAACTTAAGTTTTTCGCAATTCAAAAGATTTAATTCGCAGTGGATGTGTCGATCCCTCTCCTACTGCACATGATAATGTTCTATTTTTAAAACATTGCAAAACACAATCTTTCTCCAGTTTAAAACCATTACTATTAATTTCATCTCGAAATGTGATTGACTATATTTATAAATGTCTAGTATCTTAATCTCGGAAACATGGCATTGACTGTCAAACTACTATTTTCAGGAAAGACAACAGAATAATGTCATTCGACATATATATAGATCTGTTAAAACGTGATTAGCAGAGATATTGCATCCAAGCTCTCAATAGCAAAAACATAGTATCCCAAAATCATGTTGAGAAGGGTTTAAGAATGTAACAGACATTGTTTTAAGAGAGTGATGCAAATAGACTTTAAAAAAACTAGAATGAATTGCTAGAAACTGACTAGAAAAAAATAGTAGAAACTAACTAGAAAAAAATGCTAGAAATCATTCAACAACCAAATCAAGCAACCAAACAGCAACCTCGAACCACCAATTCAGCCACCCATAGCAATCAACACCCGAATTCGAACTCCAACAACCAAATCAAGCAACCAAACAGCAACCCCGAACCACCAATTCACATGTCCTCTTTAATTATCCATTTGTAAATAAGTATTATCCAATTTTAAATACACATTAGATAGGAATATACCTATATACATGGAATGATAAATCTAATATTATTAAATAACAATATGAATTACCTGTGCTGCCTCTGTATGCCAATATCTAATGAGATAATCCCATTGGTCCTCCTCAACACTTGGTGGTGGGTTTGCATATCGTTGTTCATCTGTACGCCAAATTTTATAATAGTTACTTTTAATCTCACTCTTCCAATCTCTCCATTTATGCCAAGGGATGATAATGTCCAATCTTTTGAGATTTCTTCTACTACAAACTTGCCTTGCATATAAAAGATAAATAAATAAAGAATCGAGTAATTCAAATATTTTTTTATTAACTCTTGAAATGAAATGTGTATACAAGTGAAATCAGTCAGTCAAAGATGTGAAGAGTCGAAAAAATTTACCCGGACCATTGTCCACATGTCCTCTTTAACTATTTCAGGGACTTTCCTCCAATTTTTATAGTTCAAGGGAGCTGCACGACCATTACGGGCAATTGTGCCCAAATAATTAGCGAAATTTTTTTCATCGGCTCCATTAGGCTGTCCATGCTCATTCACACTGTAAAATGGTATAATAATAAATAAGCCATCGATTTTGGACCAAATAAGTAGGAATACATTGTTGCCACACACACACCCAAAAAAAACAATAATAATAAATAAGCCAACAACAACAACAAGAAGTGGCTTCACTTGCATGCATTTCCTAAAACCTTCTAGTCATTCAATGCCATCATTTAAATAAAGTCACCTTAATGGTATCTGGCCATTCTTTTTGGTGTCATGTTGTAGCACATTTGCGCAGCGTGTGGGGCAGTGGTCTTAACTCATTGCTTTCAGTAGTCCCCACGTCCTCTTCTTGTGAACCATGGGAACTATGGGACTACGAATTTGAACCCTGAGAAAGTCCTTCATGCAATTCTAATTCCAAGTTTGTTGTTGCCTTACGTTTCATTATGTTCCTGCATAAAGTTAACAAACCTTTGTTGCCATGTTTATTCAAGCTGGCAGTTAAGATGAAATGTAGGCTGAAAATATCTTCAAAAACATCAAAATTTGGAAAAGTAACACACTTGAGAACAATTACAATATGCAAGAAGGAATATAAATTTACTTAAGTATGATACTACCACAATTTTATTTGTTTTAGGACAATAACAATTTGACATATGTTAAAAAAATAAAATAAATAACTAATATTATGTATACTCTTTTTACTTACCAAGTTATAAGAAAATGAGTAAGGGAGGGAGATATGGAAAAAAAAAAAATCGTAATATTCCATAAGCACGAAGCCAAAAAAAAAAAAGATGAAAATAAGAAAATGCAACATTATTTGCAACATTTAAGAAAAAATTATCATCATTCTAAGTATGTTATTCATCCGGAATATCTTCTTTGTCCGTGTTTGCTGATGAAGACTTATCAACCATTGTTCCAGGCACATCAACTCTATCCCAATGAATGTGATCATCAGTTGCATCCGAGTGTAGAGAACTAAATGGTTGCTCAAATCCATAGGTCTCAATATCATCTTCAAGAATATCATATAAATCACGAGGTTTTGTCCCTATAACAACATGCCAATCTGTATCAACTGAGTCTTGAACATAAAACACTTGCTCAGCCTGAGATGCTAAAATGAATGGTTCGTCAGTTCGCATTACACGTGAAAAATTAACGAGTGTAAACCCAAAATCATCCTCCTTTATCCCTCTACCCTTAGAGAGTACATCAAACCAATCACACTTGAACAATACAACCTTCCTTTCCTCATTGTAGTCCAACTCAATGATGTCAGTCAATAATCCAAAGTAATGAACATTTCCTGCAATAGGATTTTGATCACTGGCTCTTGCATAACTAGATGTGTGTGCTTTTAAAACAACACCACTATTTTGGGTCTTCCTCTAATTATCACGATCTCTAACATTAAACTTAAACCCATTAATCATGAACGACTTAAATCGTTTGGAAAGGACATTAGGACCCCGAGCTAGCCATCTAATCTCATTAGGGATAGGATCCTCCGTATTCCGCAGCTGTATTTTCAAAGATGTAAGTTTTACAATAAAGTAAATAGCATATATAATATAAAATTTAATTAACCTTTCTATGTGTACATACTTACACATTCATTAAACCACTTATGAAATGATAGATGAGACATTGATTGTATTTGTCGTGGCTTTAAATTCCGTTGCCTTCTCTTAAGAAATTTCTTATGCTTTCTGTAATGGAAAAATATCATACTCTATATGTTATATTGTTAACAACAAATAAATAATAATAATAATAATAATAACAACTAGGTCAAATATTGGAAACTTTTAACTTACTCAATGAATTATGTAGCTCCGTCGTAGTTAAATAACACATACCGATGAGCTTGTGTTTAACAATCATCATCTAAAGCAATCATCTCCTGTATTCCTAAGCCACGACCTCTAGGGCCAAAAGTAGACATCTCTTCTCCATCATCAAGGTTGTCATCATTCCTTGAGGGCCTATTGAACCTTGTCTCCATGTTTGCTAGGTATCTTGAACAAAAATTTAAGCATTCCTCAGCTAAATACCCTTCTGCAATTGAACCCTCTGGGCGACTTCTATTGCGCACATAATTTTTTAAGGTTAAAAGATACCTGATAGGATACAACAAAAAAATGAGAAGTATTTGCAATATTTAGTGGGGAAAAAAGCCTACGAAAATAGTGCAAAAAAGTTAAACCTCTCAAATGTATACATCCAACGATATTGCACTGGTCCTGCAATCTTTGCTTCCTGAGCTAAGTGAATTGATAAGTGGACCATCACATCAAAAAAGGATGGTGGGAATATCATTTCCAATTTACAAAGTGTTAAAGCAATCTTATTTTGCAAATTGTCCAACTCAGCCAGTATGAGAGTTTTTGAACATAATTCCTCATAAAAGTTACTCAACTCAACAAGTGTAATTCTTTGGCAATAGCTTGCGAATGGATACTGGTAATAGTTGTTGCATTAGGATGTGGGAATCATGGCTCTTCAAACCGCTAATTTTACGCTCTTTCAATTTCACACAACATGATATGTTAGCTGCATATCCATCTGGAACTTTAACTTTTTTCAACACCCGACAAAAGGTTTTCTTTTCAAGTGGAGAAAATGTGTAACTTGCCGAAAGCAAATAATATTTGTTTGCACCACGTTCCTGGGGGTGAAGTGAATGCCTTATTTGCATCTCCTGCAAGTCGAGTCTTGATTTTAAACCATCCTTTCCTCGACCAGATTCATTCATCAAAGTATAAAGTACATTATTGCATATATTCTTCTCAATATGCATCACATCAAGATTATGACGAATAAGAAGGTGCTCCCAATAAGGCAATTCAAAAAATATACTCTTCTTCCTCCAATTGAATATTTGATTTTCATCCACTTGTGCAGTATTCCCCTTGCCATCATCCACTTTTCCAAATGCTGGAAAGCTAATGCCCTCTAGTTCATGTAGCACTTCTGTTCCAGATAATATAGGTGGTGCACACCTAGTCTCTTCTGTTCCATCAAAAGCTGCTTTATTGCGTCTGAATCTATGACATTGCTCAACAAAATGCCTATAGCCTATATAACAAATTTTTTTGCTATGCTTTAACCTACAAGAACAAGTGTCTTTAAGACAAACTGGATAAGCCAAATACCCCTTTGTACTCCAACTAGATAAGTTTGCAAAAGCAGGAAAGTCACTTATAGTCCACAATAACGCTGCATGCATGCGAAACATCCCTTTTCTCGACGTATCATAGGTAGCCACCCCTTCAACCCACAATTCCTTTAATTCTTCTATCAAGGGCTGCAAATATACATCAGTATCATTTCCAGGACCATTAGGACCAGGGATTAAGGTGGACAGTATGAAAAAAGGTTGTTTCATGCACATCCACCCTGGCAAGTTGTATACAGCAAGAACAACGGGCCACGTACTATGTGCAATACTCATAGTCCTGAATGGGTTGAAACCGTCTGATGCTAGGCCAAGTCTAATATTTCTAGAATCCCTAGCAAACTCTGGATACTTATTGTCAAAATGATCCCACGCTAGAGAGTCAGCAGGATGTCTTAACTTTCCATCTTTTATGCGTTCTTCCTCATGCCATCGCATATCTGAAGTTGTCTTATTTGACATGAACAACCGTTGAATTCTTGACTTAAGAGGGAAATACCTTATAACTTTGGCTGGAATTTTTGTCTTTTTTGATGGCGGTGATGTACTTGTATTGCCCTCAGAATGAGTGTCAAAATCCTTCCACCTAGACTTGCCACATTTATGACATGTTTCATCATTAGCATGCTCCTTCCAATACAACATACAATCAAAGGGACATGCATCAATCTTGTCATACTTGAGACCTAAGTCACTAATTATCTTTTTTGTCTCGTAAAAAGATTTTGGCAGTGTTTCACCTTCTGGTAGTACATCTTTCAAAAACATTAGCAACTCACTAAATGATTTATCAGTCCAATGATGCAAAGTTTTCAACAAATATAGTTTCACTATAAAAGATAGCTTCGTAAAGTTTTTACAACCAGGATATAGATCTGTTTTTCCATCATCTAGAAGCTTGAAAAACTTATCTGCCCCTTCATTAGGGCCCCGATGATACTCATTTTCCCAATCAGCTTGTTCACCCATTTCATTTTGAATTCCAAAACCCTCATATAAGAGTTCGTGCATGTCATCATTATTTACGTTAGAGTCGATATGCTCGTATGAGGTGTCCCCATCATTATGCCTAGAAGACGAAGGTAATCGTTCTCCAAGATAAATCTAATTTGTGTATGTATTGATAAACCCATTCCACATCAAGTCATCCAAAACTTCTTGCCTTATTTTCTTGATACAATTCCAACACTTGTTACATGGACAATATATGCATCCACTCTGCCCAACTCGCTCAAATGCAGTATCTAGAAATTGTTCAACTCCATTCGAGTATGTAGTACTTATCCTATTTGTATAGTAAGAAAGATAAAGTCAAAATGAATTTATCGTAAATATCTAAACTAAGATGAGAATTAAGCTTTATAATATATATATATATATATATATATATATAAAAAAATTAAGGAGACTAAAATTTAAAGTACCTTGAGTCCGTAATCCAACTTCTATCCATTATGATAGATTATGTAACCTAGTAAAACAAAGAACATATGAATCTCAAAACTTTGTCAGTCAACTTCTTTGAATATTTTATAATATAATAATTTGTGTTCAAATGCTATCTATGAATATGATATCAAGAATTATTATGGAGAAGAACAAAAGTCTAAGGGTGTTGACAAGCCTTACCAAGATATAGTCAAAGAAGCATCCGAACTCTGGAAAAAAATGAGTGCTAAGGAGAAGGAGCCTTATGAGGCAGCCTACTTGAAAGAATTGGAAATCTTTAGGAAGGATCAAAAGGTAATGTCTTATTAGATACCACAAAGTAACATTCAATTTGATAGTTATTAAAATTTAGCTTTTCTATTTGTGTTCACATGAAATAGTTGTTTTTTTTTTTTTTTTGATAAGTCTAAGGGTGTTTTTTCACATGTAATTGCTTGGGGGTATTGTGTTGCCTAGGTGTGAGGGGCTGGATAGATTTTCTAAAGAAAGATTCATCTTTTTATACTTCACCAGGTCTCTATCGGACTTTGACTTGTTTGAAATTCAGCTTCTCTTTCTTTTCTTTTTCTATAGAACTTTTGTGCATTTCTGCTATTTTATTTCCCCTCTATTCTCTTCCCCTTGGTAGCTCATCTCTTCTTCTTTTTGTCTCCTTCATAATTTGTTGGTCTGTCATTTTTTTTTCTTCTGTTTTTTATAGTACTTAATTGTCACTGCACATGTAATTCGTATTCTAATTGCATCATTTGAATCCTATTGATGTGTTTCTATGTAAAAATATCAATTAGAGATTTTGATCAAATAATTTTTTATAACAGTAAATCATCTATAAAATACAATTTTTTGCTTTCCACTATAAGTTTTCTGCACCAACTCATTGTAAAGCAAGATAAGCCTTAAAAACCTGCGTTTTATTTATTTATATTTCCACAACAATTGAAGGCACATAAAATAATTGGTGAAGAGAATCGATCATGTGTGAGAACAGATAATATTTTACACTTGGGAACCCATTATATATAAACCCCAACCCCCTCTCTCAAATTTCACAAAATTGGACTGAGAAATAATGCACAAAATCTGATGGAGATGGACAATACTTCCTATGCATGGAGTTTTCCACAAAATACTCCTATTGCAAATGCTGAGCTTATATGATACTATTTTTTATACTGAAATTCATACTCTAAAGTATAAATGACATCCTAAACCTGTCCATCAAAAAGGGAAATGGGTTCAAACTATAGGGAAAACCATTCTTGAAGCAAGAAAAACAAGCCAGCTAAATTTATTCCAAACTCCTGAATGTCTTCACATATACTGCTCTACCCACCTACCATCTCTGAAACTTCCAAAAGTAGAATCCTGTATATAAGTGAATATGTGCCTCATGTGGTACACTGTGTCTTTCTTTTATTCCCTAGTCAAAATTTGTACCATAGAAACAATTTCATTGTGGAAAATGACACAAGTTACCATAGGTTTTTAAATCCGACTGAATGTGTAATCATAGATCTTCCAAAAAACCGATTCAGCCCAATTATTATCCAATCTCATATATCTTCCAACCGATTCACAAAAGTCATTACAATTATACCTTCACCTCACAGCAAAATGCTACCCACCTAGGAATCAATGCTATATCTTTTACTAAACCCTTCCTTTTTAAAATTAAGAAAACTGGGGGCATCTTTCACAACAAGTGTTATTGAATGCCATAATCATCTAAGAAAAATACAAGTATCAAATGAAATTAGAACCCAATTAGCACCATGGCAACAGGAACTGTAAAAAGAGAACTCACCCCAGATCTTTGTATCCCGAACTGACCACCATAATCCAGATCTTCATCCACCAAAACTCAGATCTTTGCCGCCCGCCCAGACCACTACTACCGAGATCTTCGTCGAGCGCCACCAACCGCACCACCGCTGATTATCGTGACAACGTGAGTGAACAAGCAGCTTGAAGATGGGACTCTAGGCTTCTGTAATCTTCTCCCAATATTAGCTAAGTTTAACCTCGCCCCTTGAAAATGTAATAAATAATAAAAAAAGATTAAAATATCTAAGCCCAAAACTACATCATTTATCTCGTTTCTTATTAGCAGGGCACGCAAATCTCATTTTATATTTATCGGCAGTGAAATAAAAAACACCGGCAAAAACAATATAAACAGCACCAATTTTTTGAACGCCGAAACAAACATTATTTTTTTCGGCATTTAAATGTAAAACGCCATAATAACCACATATTTTCTGACGTTTTGTTACAAACTGCCGGAAATTACTGTACAACGGCATTTTCCCTTAAACTGCCGGTATTTGTAAAATATCACCGGCAGACATAAAAAGACGGCCAGTAAAACCCATATTTGTTGCAGTGGATTGACTCCATTATCAGGTGCATTAGAGTAACTTCAGTAAGAGAATGTAACTCATATTTTTCAAGACCACCTTTATCCCTCTCTCTCTCTTTCATTTACTGTCCCACTTACACTTACAAGCCTACTGTGCACTATTATTATCTCATTTGTTATTTGATGAGGTTTTGTTCCAATGGCAACTTTTCAGGACCACGGTTAATCCCAAGTTTAGAGAGGTTATACCACCCACTTTGGATACTTGTGTCCCGGCCATTCATCGCCATAGTTGCATTGGTATACTCTTTCCTCTTTCTTTTGTTCTCATTGCACATTGAAGACATTGTGTCGTTTAAGTTTGGGGCTAATGTGTGTTCTTTGCTTTTAATGCAATATTTTGAGTATGACTTGTGTATTTGAGGGATTTTCTATGATTGGTCCAAGACTAGCTATGATTTTGATCTTTTGAGGCCTATATTGCTTAAAATTTAAAAATTGTTTGACTTGAGAGTCCAATATTCCTTGTATGCCTTGTGGATGCTATTTAGGAGTAAATTTTTCGAAAGATTGATATCTTGCTTGCATTAGGGGTCCACATTATCATCATTTTGTGATTGTCTTGAGATTCACTCTAGGATTCTACATTAGCACAGGCGCACAATAGTATTCATTTGTCGGGTACATGCTTTGTTGATTATTGATTTGGTTATATCCCTATTGAGCTAGTAATGCATTGAAAGCTTTCATTCTTAACAAATGTAGATAACAAACCCTTTTCATTAAGTAGCCGGGATTCTAGCCTCATCAAGCACTGAATTTCTCGCGCTGAAAGGTGGAGGGCCCAAACTGTGATACCCCCGGATTTTCAGATGCGGGTAAGCCAGGCACACGCCCGAACACCAGAGGATATAAAAAACAAATGGCAATAATTGAACACAGAATACAGTTATAATAAATAGGAATAAATAAAATTGCTAAAAGAAAACTAAAACGATCCTTTAATGAAAACCTCATAATAAACTTTCATATATAAGAACTATTCTGGTACATCCAAAACCTCCAAAACAAATACAACTCGGGAATCCATCTGGTGGACCCCTATTCAAAACCCAACTGAAGATAAACTAAACTGTTAGTCACTAATTAACTCTAGAGGGGGGGTGAATAGAGTTAAGGGCCAATTTTTTGCAATTTAAAAATATTAAATCTAACAAACTATTAAGCACGGAGAAACTGAAATATTCAAGCAGTGTATGGCATAAGTATAAGAGAGATAGAGATGAGAGATTGCAAATTATGACTCGGCGATTTAGAGAGGTTCGGAAACTCCTACTCCTCGACTCAAGGTCCCCCTTGAGACTTCCCAAAATCACTAGAGCTTCTCCTTAATGGTGGAGAGCAAACCTTCAATTGAAGCAAGACCTTGCTTTTCTTCCTTGCTAAGAGAACACCCTTCTCCTAGACTTTCTTTTGGGTCACACCTAACTTGGAATAGAAATGAATTGTACAATAAATCTCTCAAAGATAGAAGTACACAATTCTGCTCACGACTATAGTAAAGATGAATATATATATGAAGCTCAGAATTACTACAGTAGAATGAAATGTAAGAGAGGAAATGAAAGCAGAGGGAATGAAAGCTCAACAAATGTTTCTTTAATGCTTTTCAAGAATGGTAGAATGCTCTTTATAATAGTGTAATTTTTGATGCAGACCAACTTCTGTATTTATAGAAAAACAATGGTCAATATAGCTGTTGCAGGTGGTTGGAAAACAATAAATGAAAAAGTTTTCGTTGTAGATCAAAACCCTAGAAGGAGCCGGCTCTTGTAAACAAGAGGAGGCGGCTCCCTAGCCTTGAGAGCCGGCTCTCCTTTTTGGGAGCCTGCTCTTTGGATGGAAACTTCATTTTTCGTTGAAAGATAGCTTTGAGAGCCGTCTCTATTTGAAATGGAGCCTACTCTAATTTTCTGAGCCTTCTTTAGATTTGTAGAGCCTTCTCTACTTTTGTAAAGCCTTCTCTACTTTCCCCTGAGCCTTCTCTAATTTTTGTAGAGCCTTCTCTAGATTTGTAGAGCATTCTCTACTTTTGTAGAGCCTTCTCTACTTTCCTCTGAGCCTTCTCTAATTTTTGTAGAGCCTTCTCTACTTTTAGTAGGAGATTTAAAATGAATTCCAGTATGATGTAAGGCTCATATGAATGTGTTCAAAAACCTAATGAGCTAATTTTATGTTCTTTGAAAGATGAAATGAGAATGATATGCATGAATTGTAATTTTGAGCTTCAAAATATATTCATCTAAACTTTGACATTAAACCTTAAGCTCTCACCATCCTATCTACCATTTTCTTCATTTCTTGACCATGATCGTCTAGGCTTGATGAAGATTTGCTGAAAAGCTTGAATGATCTTTGAAGTCCGAGTTCTTCTTTAATTTCTTGCACTTTGATGCTTCTTTGAAATCATTGCTTGAGTGTTTGGAGTGCTTGAAATGGAACTTCTAACTCATCATTGAGGATTGAATGATTGATCAACTATACTTCACTCAATGAAAATATTAGTACATAAACATCATTAATGGTTTGTAATAATCAAAACATAAGATTGACCTTTAGATAAAATCCTTAGGTTAACATAAACTAAAAGAAATCCAAAACTAAATATAAATAGCAGTCCTATGCAGTCGGAAGAATGAGTGACCATCTCTGCTCAGCACGAACAAGCTCTAAGATTGGAACCATCCGATACCTGAAAAATAATAGTGGGTCAAGCCCACGAACAAGTTTTATCATAGCTACAATCCAAACAAAGACCCGATACGCAGATACATCCTAGATATCTCAACAATATCTATCTAATTCATACATATATATATCCACACTAAGGGACATTCACTGGACTACATAGGGGGGCTTAGCTTGAATAAAAGGTAACATATAAAACGTACCTGAGTGGGCATGAGTACCTAAGCCTAACAAGGTACACCTCAACCTATCATAACCAGCTACGCATTTTTTTGCATATATGCACCCTAACCATCGACCCTGAGACTCAAGCTCATATCGTGGTAGCATAAATATATATATTTAAAGTTCGTCCAAAATCAAAGTATGTAATTAAATTGTTCATTGATCTGACATAAGATTAACTAATCTAGTTAGTCACTCAACTTATTCAGTTAATCTGACTTAACCACAAATAACCAATCATCCAGTAAGTCACTCAACTTTATGTAGCTGATCTGACTTAAGTATAAGTAAGACTTATTTTATAATCCATTCTTGTAATGACCTGGATTTTCACGGATATTTTTTTTCTGTTGTCTTTCCTTTCTGAGTTCAGTTCCTCTTCGCTTAGTGTTGTCTCGAGTGCTCTATAGTGATTTCCGAGACTTTTTTCTGTGGATTGACAACTTACTTTGAGGACCGAGTCGTTTCCACATTTTTCGTTTTTCGACACTATTTACTTTTCGTCTTTTTCCCAATTTCATCCTTTTCCCTATTTTGTCTTTTCCCCGTTTGACACTTTGTTGGCATGACCACACTTCTTGTGTTCGAAGTTGGTTTTTGATTTCATGTATCTCCATCTTGAGTGGTTTCCACAAAATACGTATCTTTACTTTTGCAAGAAAGTACTCTGGTTGCTCCCGGTGTCCATAGCGGCATGGATGCAAAGTTCTTTGAAATTATTTTCTTTTCTTGGGGTGTTTTTCGTAAATATCTTTTGAAGATATTTTATTTCAGGGGTTTTTAAGAAAATATTTTTGGAAGATATTTTCATTCTGGGCCATTAGTGCAGTTTTCACTTTTTGGAAGGGCCATTGTGCAATTAACGAAAGTTATTGCTAAATGCCTTGTTTTGAGCCTGGATCCTCGTACGGGATTCATTTTCACATTTCGTCGAGTCGTGTACTCTTAGAAATTCCTTCTGGTCATTGTTTTCCAATTTTAGGGTTTCTGGCCTCGGTTAGCGTCAAACTTGTTTAGGGCATAACTTTCTATTCGGGACTCGGTTTTTGACGCCGTTTCTTCCGTTATTCATATTTTCTCATTTTGAATCTTTTTGGTTCATAGATTTTTTTCATTTGAGCACTTCTGCTCAAATTTCACTTTTTCGGACCCAGCGGGGCCCGTTCGGGGCACTTTTTGAGATTTTTATAAAAGGGAGGTGAGATATTTTATTTTTTCATCTTCCCTACTCTCTTGCACGACCTGAAGTTTCCATGGTAGCCCAAGGGAGGCTGCCACATTCTCTCTCCTCTTTTGAGCTTCATTCCTTCGTCAGAACATAGAAGGGCCTTTGCGTTTAGTATACTGGTTGACTACACGCTTCTTTCACCCTTATTAGAACCCATTTCAGACCAGTCTTTGAGTTTGGGTTTGAAGTCAAGTTGTGATTTTGATGGCGCTTCCTTGGGGGTTATGTGCACGGTGTA